CGAAAGATGAGAGATCATCTCGCGACGAAGACACACCAGCGCCGTGCTTAAGTATGGTTCTGATAATTGAGCGCAGGTGTGCCTCGCCGCCGGGAGCATGCTCCTACGTGAGCAGGGGTGGAGTCGCCAGCTGCCGAGGTGCCTGATCCGTGGACGTAACACCAACTGGGGACTCCGTTGTTTTACTGGGAGACTTCAATGCTCATGTGGGCAGCAACAGTGAAACCTGGAGGGGAGTGATTGGGAGGAACGGACCCCCCGATCTGAACCCGAGTGGTGTTCTGTTATTGGATAACAGACACCATGTTCAAGCATAAGGGTGTCCATCAGTGCACGTGGCACCAGGAAACCCTAGGCCGGAGCTCGATGATCGACTTTGTGGTTGTTTCATCTGACCTCCGGCCGTATGTCTTGGACACTCGGGTGAAGAGAGGGGCGGAGCTGTCAACTGATCACCACCTGGTGGTCAGCTACTCTGAAAAGGTCAAAGCTCAGGTTTCAACCAACGGCCCCTCGTCTGTGTGGAGAAGTCTGAAAAGCATCACTGGCTATAGAAAACCATCCCCCCTGCTGTGGAGGACCATCAACTAGCAGACGACCTGAATGTGTTCTACTGCAGGTTTAACAAACAACACTCCCTCCACCCTCCCTACCTCAGTCCCAGCAGCTGCTCCCCCAACAATCACCACCCTTCCCTCCAGCCTCCCACTTCTAACAATCTGTGAAAATGATGTGTGTGGCCTTTTAAAAAGACAAAAGATCAGAAAGGCACCAGGCCCAGATGGTGTGACCCCCTCCTGCCTGAAAGTTTGTGCTGATCAGCTGGCCCCCATTTTCAACAAGTCACTAGAGCTGTGTGAAGTCCCCTCCTGCTTCAAATGCGCCACCATCATTCCAGTCCCCAAGAAAACCCCCATCAGTGGACTGAATGACCACAGACCTGTCACCCTGACATCTGTAGTTATGAAGTCCTTTGAAAGACTGGCACTGGCCCACCTGAAGAACACCATAGACCTCCTGCTAGTTTACATGGCACCGCATTACATCCTGCAACACCTCGACTCCCCAGGGACCTATGTACTGGCCCTCTTTGTGGACTTCAGCTCACCATTCAACACCATCATCCCGGACATCCTCTACTCCAAACTGACCCAACTCACTGTGCCTACCCCCACCTGTCAGTGGCTTACTAGTTTTCCGACAGGAAGCAGCAGGTGAGGCTGGGGAAAACCACATCCTGCACCCAGACAATAAGCACAGGCGCCCCCCAGGGATGTGTGTTCTCCTCTCTGCTGTTTTCACTCTACACCAACAACTGCATCTCAAAGGACCCCTCTGTTAAGCTCCTAAAGTTTGCTGATGATACAATGGTCATTGGTCTCATCCGAGACGTTGAGGAGTCAGCCTATAGATGGGAGGTTGAGCAGCTGGTCCTGTGGTGTAGCCGCAACAACCTGGAGCTGAACACACTCAAAACAGTGGAGATGACAGTGGACTTCAGGAAGAACCCCCCACCATACTTGGCAGCACTACCAGCAGTAAAGCCCTACAAGTTCCTAGGCTCCACTATCTCCCAGGACCTGAAGTGGGCATCCAATATCAGGACCATCATCAAGAAGGCACAGCAGAGGATGTACTTCCTGCGCCAGCTCAGGAAGTTTGACCTGCCCCAGGAGCTACTGATACAGTTCTACAAAGGAATCATCGAGTCTGTTCTCTGCACCTCCATCACTGTCTGGTTTGGCTCAGCAACCAAACAGGACAAGTACAGACTTCAGCGGACAGTCAGGACTGCAGAAAAGGTCATTGCTGTGAGCCTGCCCACCATGGAGGACCTGTACACCTCACAGATCAAAAGGAGGGAGGAGAGGATCATTGCAGACCCCTCACACCTGGGACACAATCTGTTCAAACTCCTCCCATCTGGATGGCGTTACAGGTCACTGTGCGCCAAGACAACCAGGCACAGGGGCAGTTTCTTCCCCCGGGCTGTCACTCTGATGAACACTTAACCCACGACGGTATGACTGCTCAATAACCCTCAGTACAATACCTGTAAATATACCTTGTACATATAGATCCGTAAAATGCATCTAGACTGTGTGTCTACACAGGTCTCTATTTTTATTGCTATTTACTTCATTTCACAAAGAGCATTCTTTTGTCTGTCTGCATTGTTTACTGCCTGTTTATACTGCTTATTTTGCATTGTTTGTACTGTTTGTTGCTGCTAATACTGCTTATTTTGTTATATTATACACCCTTATGTTGGTTTACTGTTTACGTACCCCTTGCATGGGTACATGCACTTTGACAGCCGATGTACCAGAGTCAAATTCCTCATGTGTCCGACACACCTGGCCAATAAAGCACATTCTGATTCAAAGTCCTCACCTACACAGATAAAACAATCACCACAAACCTGATTAACACTGCATTTCCAGCTGTGGTCTGAATAGTGCCAAAATTGCAGGTGCCATGAAAATAATTTACTAATGATTTCAGTAAGTGTGCATTTACCAAGTCTTCATTCATATACAGTATGTGAACTTGCTGTCATATGACCACGGTGTCAGCACACTGGCAGACTAGACTCAGACAGGAGGGATTAGGCCAGAAGGAGTGGGAAGAGAGAAAGAAAATTAGTTATATTTCTTCACAGATATACTAGAAGCTCATTTCAATTTAGTTTTCCCACAGTGGAATACTTAAAAAAAATAATTTACTTAAATAAATTGATGAAGGACTATGTAATTCTTGTTGAAAAAGTTTACTATGCTGGGAAAGCATTCAACATTTTAAACAAATAATACAGCACTTTAACCATCACAAAGTCATATTTTATTTTTACTTACTGTTCAGAGGCAGTGTGGAATCACGGACAGTCATGGTATGGTACTAGAGACATGAAGAAAGAAAATGGAGCGTTTAGCTTTTCACTTTTCAGTAATGAACAGATTAATAATATAGACTGATGAGGTATAACATTATGACCACCAGGGTCATGGTGAGCACTCGCAGAGGCAAGTGAGCAAACAGGCTGGACCCGGATGGCAGGTGCGATTCTGATCACAAACTTTATTGCACTGAGAAAACAAGTTATGGAGATAACAGTCAATATGTTGGAAATGTCCGCCAGAGGATGCAGACCTCGAGGGGGTCCACAGTTGGGAAGCTGGAGGTGGCAATGCAGGACAAATGGAGGAAACGAAGACAAGCTCAGACAGGTGAGTATAGCTGGTGAACTAAGGTGGGGTAGAGCGGAGATGGCTGGGCTCGAGGAAGATGAAGAGGAGAGATAATTGGCAGCAGGTCACTCAGGCAGAGGCAGAACGGCGAGTGTCAGAGGTGCAGATTGCTGGAGTAATGACGGGAAACCTAGGAGTATAGGCAGATGTAAGTGAGGATTAAACAGTCTTACTTTTTAGTAGCGTGATACTCAAAGTGTTGCTGAGCGAGCGTAGCTTCTTGTATGATGAGGCCAAAGGATGAGAAGGGATTCGTCAACGTCCTAGCGAGGAGTGATCGTGCGCCAGCGTCTTAAGTACTGCCGTTGGTGATAGGTAATTTGCCTCAGCTATGTGGTATCTCAGAAGACACTGATGAGATGATGACACTCAGCTGAGCACACTGCTGGAGCCA